TCATCCCTGGTCTCCAAAACCACGGGCACACATGTGGGGACACTCATGCAGGCACACGCACATAGGTGCACACGCAAGTGATGGAGCTGATGAAGTACCTGAGGGGAAGGCCCAATATAATGCCCTTTGGGGGTGGTTTAGAACAACCCCCACTTATCCCGAAGGCTGGCCAATGTGTCCAAGATGTTTTTGGTGCTTCGGGAAGTGGGTGGATAGCTTCTTGGAGCAAGACGCTTAAACGGATGATAATGGCACCCTGCCATTACCACAGAACTCAAACTTCAAGATTTGGGCCCAAACACCTGCTTCCCTTCCAGGAGATGATATGGGAAGTCGACAGATGGACTTCCAGGCTAAATCCTAAAGTGAATTGTCCTCAAAAATCTCATTAGGAAATGAGGTTACTGGTAACTTGGGGGGGGGTACAGAACCATTTTTTTTAAAAATTAGGAATCAACTGTAGGTCCCCGAAAGTACACGAGGCCCCTCAGGGCTTACAAGAAGCATCTAGTTCACCTGAGGGTGGGGGGGTTGAAGGTCCAGCTCCCATTAGAGGCCTAAGCTGGGTGTTTCGCTTGGTACCCGTAGTCCTGGACTATGAAGGGTGATTTGACTCTTACTATTCACTCTGTCTCCCTGTCTGTCTCTATCTCCTCCATGTCTGTCTGTCTGTCTGTCTCTGCTGTGGTTTGAATGAGAAATATACCACACAGGTTTGGACAATGGGTCCCCAGCTGGTGCCACTGTCTGGGAAGGTAACAGAATCTCTTGAAGGAAGCACCTCACTGACGATAGGATTGGTGGTTTTTATAACTTGACCCCGCTTCCTTTCCTCTCTCTACTTCCTGAGTATGGTTTCAATGTGACCGGTCTGAGTCTTGCTCATTTTGCCACGCCTTCCTCACCATGATGGACTGTGTCCGTCTGCAACTGTGAGCCAAAATAAACCCTTTCTTCCCTAAGTTTTTTTTTTTGGGGGGGGGGAGGGGGGGAGGGGAGGTCAAGGTGTTTCACTGATGCCAAAGGAAAGGAACACAGATCGGGTCCATGTGCGTGCATGTGCAGTCAGAGATAACCTGAGGTGGTATTCCTCAGGCTCTATCCACCCTGTGTATTTTTGTTTTGTTTTTGAGAGAGGGTGTAGAGCAGACTGTCTTCAAACTCACAGAGATCTACCTGCTTCTGCCTCCTGAGCAGTGGGATTAAAAGTATGCACCACCATGCCTGACCTGCCTTGTGTTTTAAAAAATGTATTTAGTATGCATATATGCTGTGTGTGTGTGTGAGGGGAGAGAGAGAGAGAGAGAGAGAGAGAAGAGGCAGGCATGCCATAATTGGCATGCATGTGGCGGTCAAAGACCACCCTTGTTCTCTCCTGCCACGTTGTGAGACTCAGGGATTGAACTCAGGTGGTCGGGCCCAAGCACACGTTCGTTCCTCTACTCTCTGAGCCTTCTCATTGGCCTGACCTTGTTCTTTGTGACAGGGTCTCTCACTAAACCTGAAACTCACAAGTAGGCTAGCCCAGCTAGATCTTCCCCTCGCTGTCATCCCAGCACTAGGGCTACTAGTGTTTGCGATCATGCTCGGCTTCAAAACACATTTTAAAATTGCTCGGGTTTGGGTTGTTTAGCTTGCTTGTTAGTTTGCTCACTGTATGCACTCTCCCTTCAGTGCCTACAAAGGTCAGAAGAGGGTGTTGATCTCCTTGACCTGGAGTTAGAGGCAGTTGTTATTTATTATGTGGATGCTGGGAACAGAGCTCAAGTCCCCTGGATGAACAGCCTGTATTGCTAAGCCATCTCTCCAGCTTTTAAAATGTTGGCTCTGGGGATTGAACCCAGGTCCTCATGCTTGTATGACAAACACTGCACTGACTGAGCCATCTCCCTGCTACTGCTCTTGCAGCAGGCAGCAAGAGGGGAATTCTGGGGGTGTGGCTTCTGGCTGTTGGACTTTGTTTGCTCAGAGCTTCGCTGATAACCAAGGCCTCCCGGAGCTACAGGGGCAATTGTACTGTGTGGGGAGCTGCCTTTTCTGAGGCCATGTTCCTGAGGAACCATGGACAAGCTCCAAAGTCATTAAGAGGATGGAGCTCTCAAGCCTGATGCCCATGAGCTTGGACAGCCTTGCAAGCGAGCTCCAAGCTGTTCCACGGCCAGGTCTGCAGCTCCATTTCCATTAACAGTGCTTTCCCGGTGGCCACTCTGTCTGACGGAGCCTGACAGGGGAGGATTCTGCCTAAGGGAGCCAACTGGAAATCTTTGGAGCTCTGTCTTTCCCACCAGCCACAGCTCTCATGGTGCTAGCTCTCCCTTGGCAACTAAAACCGTATTTGAAAATAAAATGTCACTTTTAAAAAATGTCTACTGTCAGCACATGGAAAATTTGTTTTTCCTGTTGAACTTCACGAGATGACTAGAGGCGACTGGGAGAGTCTAGATGCGCGCCTCGTGCGTGGGGAGCGAGTGTCGGCGCATGTGAATCAGTGAGTCATGGGGGGCATGTGAGAGAGCGGCGTGGCGCTGTGCAGGTGGGGACGGCGAGTACAGTGGCGTCAGCTGTGGGGGTGCGGTGTGGGGTATGAGAGTGCTAAGGCATGTGAGAGTCAAAGGAGGAGGCTGAATTCAGGTCTGAGGTGACAGGAGTGTGACTAGGGGTTCATTGCCAACAACCCTGCTGTGGAGTGAGTGTGAGTGTGAACCAGGACTGTTCTCGGAGTGTGTGTCCAGAGACGGAGGCTGCGGTATGTGTGTGTACGTGTGGGCATCTGTTTGGGTGTGTGTGTCTAAAGGCCAATGCTGATGTGTATTGCGACTATGTGTCTGAGGTTTAGTGTTGGGTGAGTGACTGTGGTAAGACCTTATTCCTAAGAAGACATGAACACACATCTGTTCGCCCCAGGTAGAGAACTGATGACAGACCCAAGTAACTAAACTACCACAGTTCAGCTTGGTGAACCACTGAATATATTGGGGTTGCTTACAGGCACGTGGGTGACTCAAAGAGAGCCTCATCACTGAAAGCCAACCGACATGTGTGATAACTCATGAAGGCTGGAACCTGAAATTCACTGTGCAACTTGCAGGCAGCCCAGCAGGTTAGACAGCCTCCTCTTCTCAGCTGGTCTAACTGCCTAAATAGTCCTGCGAGGGAGATACTTCCTTTCTGTTTCTGAGATGAGACACTCTGACCAAAAGCCACTTAAGTGAGCAAAGGGTTTATTTGGCTTATACTTCCAGATTTCAATTCATTTTTGAATGAAATCAGGAACTTGAAGCTGAAACCATGGAGGAATGCTGTTTGCTGTTGCTAAGCTTGGTTAACTTTCTTCTGTAGCCCAGGGCCACAAGCCCAGGGAATGGTGCTGCCCACAGTGGGCTTGGCCTCTTCTACATCAATGAAATTGAGATGATTGCCCACAAACATGCCCATAGGCCAGCCTCATCTGGGAAATCTTTCAATTGAAATTTCCTTCTTGGCTGTGTAAGGTTTTAAGTTAAAGCTAACCAGGGCAGAAGGGCCTTGTGAGTCTGCTAAGTTTCAGAGACTTTTTGAGATTTGTGGGATGTTTACTTCCTGAGTCTTAAAGATCTTCCCTCCAGAATGGACTGTTTCAGCCCAGAGGATCTTGTTATATAATATATTGTAAAAATGTGTTACAGTTTGGCTGAGGAGCACCTCTCTAAAAGTTCACATGTTGAAGGCTTGGTTCAGGGGTGAGATGTTTTGGAGATCAAATTCCGAAGGCTTTGATTTCATGAATGTAGTAACCCAATGATAGAGTCACAATGTGGTGATGTTATTGGAAAGGAATATTGCCTTTAAATGGTGGCAATTACCTGAAGAAGCACATCAGGGGTACTGGTGGTTGGTTTTTGAAGGACACACCATATTCCTGGCCACTTTCTGCTTTCCTCTCTGCTTCCTGTCCATCACCTCCTGCCAGCCATGATGTTTACCTTACAACAGGGCCAGAAGTAACAAATAAAGCATCACAGATATATACCACTGGAGCCATGAGCCAAAATAAATCATTCCTGCTACAACAGGTCTCTCCAAGCATGGTAAAACACATGACAAACAATGTTTAAAAACCAGTGCTGGTGTGTGTGTGTGTGTGTGTGTGTGTGTGTGTGTGTGTGTGTGTGTGTCTTAGAGCACTTGTGGAGGTCAAAGGACAACTTTGTGGATTCATGTGGAGTCCAAGGCGTAAACTCAAGTTTCAGGTCAAGCTCCTTTATCTGCTGAGTCATGTCATTATTATCCATTTTTGCATTCTAGTTTGAAACAGGGTGTCACTCTGTAGCCCAAGCTGGCCTTGAGCTGCTTCTAGAGCTCGGGCTGGCACTGAACCCATTGTAGCCATGCTGACCCTGAACTTACAGTTTACAATGCCCTGGCCCATCTTCCTGAGGAGCTGGGATTTCAGACATGCTCCATCAAGTTCTAGCAGCGCTTCCTCCTCAGCCGAGTAAGGCAAGGATGGTAGAGATGGAACCCAGGTCGCAAACATCCCGGGCAAGTGTCTGCCTCTCCTAGTGCACATGCTACATGTGAAGTGCTGGCCAATTTTGTCTCTTTTACTTTTTTGCAAGTAGCCTCAAGTTGGTGTCTGCTATTGTTCATTTGATCTTGCTTATGCTGAGGCAAAGCCTGAGGGTGTGAATGGAAAAGTACCTAGAAAGATTAAAGTTGCTTCTAGAGGCACAGATCCATTTGTTATATAATATTCTCTGGTGACATTGAGCCCTTATTAATAACTAAACATCTGTCAGTACTATAATTATATTTCTTGTGCCATAGTTGTGTCTACCATTGGCCTGTGTAAACATGGAAGGGCAGGTGTGAATAATTTAGGCAAGTGACTTTGAGTAAATAACCATTCAGCACTGTTTCCGACAGTAAGTTTCTGCCAACTCCTTGCAGAGTCTCAATATCTTCGCTGATGTTCCTTTGATGTACCCCCAAATCTCTGACCACATCGAGCTGGACCCCCGATGCGGCTGCCTGAGCAACCTGGAGATGGGAAGCCTGAGAATGAGACGAAGGGGGACCAAGAAACTCCCGAAGGGGGAGAGGAGCCACGGAGAAGCCCAGCCCCTGGCTTCCCCACCTGGCAAGTCTTCCCCCACCCCCAAATCCCTGCATCTAGATTGCTTTGCAACTCCCAGGTAGGGGAGTGGGGTGGGATCTCCGAACCTGTGATGCCCAGGGCACAGGGGAGAGTCTATGAAAAGCCCACCGGGGGTGGGGAGCTTCCCAAAGGATGCTCTATCCAGCAGGAAGCAGAATTTACATGGATTCTGGAGGTGGTGGGTTTCCATGGTCTCTCTTTGAGATCCATGCTCAAGGCAAGAGGGTGTGGCTGAAAACTCACTATCAATAAAGCGTTTGGGAGGGTGTGGGTTGTTATGAAACAGATGCAACTTTCAGAACGCAGAGGAAGAGACAGCATGGAAACAGAACCTTTACATAGGTCGTTTTAATTAATTCTTAAAATATTCTCATGAGGACCTTTTGAATCCCGTGTGTGTGTGTGTGTGTGTGTGTGTGTGTGTGTGTGCGCGCGCGTGCACGCACGCGCGTGCACATTGTGAGTACTAGGGATTGAACCTAGGACCTTGTATGTATTAGACCAGTGCTATACAGGTCCTTAGAAGGGGGTTTGGGCAGGTGCTCTACCACTGAACCACATCCCTTCACCAGGGAATTTTAGGCAGGGGCTCTACCACTGAGCCACACCCCAGCCCCTTACTGGGGGATTCTAGGCAGGTGCTCTACCTCTGAACTATATTCCAAGCCTTTTTTCTTATTTTAAGAAATGGTTTCACTAAATTTCTCAGGCTTGCCTTAAACCCACTCAGTAGCCCAAATAGCCCTCATACTGGAAATCCTCCTGCTTCACTCTTCCCAAGGAGCTGGAATACTAGGTCTGCATCACCATCAGGCCTCACAGTGTAAGATGACTTTTATAGGAGAAAAGTGCTTAAAAATACTGAGAGACTGGCCTGAGGTCACACAGTCAAAGGAAAACCCAGAATTCCTACCCAAGTCTCTCTGAGGCCTGTTATGGTCTTCCTCTCCTCCTCCCCACCTCCATCGCCCCTCTCTTTCTCCTTCTCCTTCTTTTTCTCTTTCCTTCTCATCCATTTCTTTTCCTCCACCCCTCCTCATCTTCCTCTTTCTCCAACTCCTTTTTTTAAAAAAAAAAAAAAAACAAAAAAAAACCCTCCCTTCTCTGCCTCTTCCTTTTCTCCTCCTCTTCCTTCTCTGTCCTTCTCCCTTTTTTTCTGTTCTTCCTTGCCTCGCCCTGTATATAGAAGTCATTTCAGGCTGGGCTGTCTATATGTCACCAAGCCACAGGACTCTCTGTTTTTTTTTTTTTTAATCTTACTCTTTTTCTTTGCTCTGGAATCTTTCCATGCATGACTGTAAAAACTCAAGAGCGGTTTTGTGTAGCAGAGAATTTTAGATCTGTGTGATACTGGCATCAAAGATTGGAGCACCATGAGTTCTTCAATTTGGCCTCGCTCTGAGGCTATCCCTCTGAGTCTCTTGGTAATGGAATCTCTTGATGTCTCCATCCTAGCTCATATTAGTGGTGGGAAGTGTTTATCATAGAGGGAATGAACTTAAGCTTATTGGGGGTATGTGTAGAAATATTTTTGGTGATGTAGTTCTTGATTTTTAGTAATGTTTCCCCAGAGCTGTGGAAATAAGGGCATGGAGGGCACAGGCACAGGAGATTTTAGGACTCTATCTAGATTCCAGAACCTTCTACAAGATACCTCAGTGTTTGAGAAATCAAGGACAGGAGCTGAAGAAACCCGTGGTCAACATCATCTTGGCACACAGGGTGAGGTCTCCTGAGGACTGTGAACTTGAAGCTGGAAGTATGTATGGGTGTGGGCTCAGAATGGTTGCTGGAGAAGTTTGGCTTGGTGTTTAGTTGCTTTTGCCATGGCTGTGACAGATACTCCACAAAGAGCAACTTCATGGAGGAACGATTTGAGGAGCCATGGCCGCCATGGTGGGGAAGGCATATCGGCAGGAGTGAGGTGAATGGTCGCCTTGCACTCACGGTTGGGAAGGGAAGAGCTATGAAGAGCAGCAGTCTCACTTTTCTTTTATTCAGTCTGGGACCTTCATTGTTGGGCTGGTGCAGCCTACAGATAATGTGTGTTTTTCCACCTTAAATATGGTAAGTTGTTGGCTCCTTGCCCTCTCCTCCCGCCCTGCCCCTTGCATTCCAGTCTGACATAAAACTCATGGTTCCTCCGCTGCATTCTCTCTTGAGCTCTGGAATTGGAGCTGTGTACCTCCAAGGCCAATATTAAGTTGTTATATTGAGATTTAAGTTGCAACCATTTGCAAGGGTGATCCCCTGGAGAGCTAGCTGTCCTGACTTGTAAGACCACTGGCTCCTAAATTTAGAAGGTGAAAAAAAATGTTCTTCCATTTCTATCCTTGCCATGGGATCTGGGGGGGATTCTTTGCATGCCATTTTACTTTCATTTGTGTTGATGTGATAAAACACCCCGACCAAAAGCAACTTAGGGTTTACTTCAGCTCACAATCCCAGGTTTAGAGTTCATCATTATAGAGATGCCAAAGAACATTAAATAGTCTCGTTACATCCACAGTTGAGAGCAGAGAGGAATGAATGCCTACATGATGTCCCCACTCTTGCACAGTTCAGGACCTCTGCCTGGGGAATAGAGCTGCCCACAGTAGGCTGACTCCTCCCACAGTTTTTACTTGAGGCGATCCCCACAAGCATGCACACAGGCCAACTTGATCTAGAAAGTCCCTCACTGAGACTTCCTTCCCGGGTGATGCTAGGTTGTCAAGTGACAAAGTGAACTCTCAGAATGGTCTTGAGTGACTCCTCAGTGGTCAGTAGTGCAGCTGACCACCTTAAAAAGTGGGACAGAGAGATGCCCACAGAGCTTTGACAAAACACAGCTAAGTAAACAACTCCACACACAGGGTGGTTCTGCGGGCCAATCTGAAGGAAGCTCTTCTCTCTGGGGGAGGAGTGGATGTGCTCTATTGATATATAAGCTAAAAATAACAACCTTCCAAACAAAGTGTTTTTAGTATTTTGAAATGAAAATGTGTAGACAAAGCAGGGATCTAGAATGTATGAGTCATTAAATTGCGGACTCTCAAAGCAATGGAAATTCAAAGGGCACTTTTTTTCCCCTCTCCATTTCTCCCTCCCACCCCTGTTCTGAAGAGCTTTGGCAGAGTCTCTTCGTAAACAGTTCCCACAGACTGCCCCATGGCCTATGGTCCTACACAGCAAAAGGTTGAGAGAACTCAACTTCTTTCTTGCCTGGTTGCTAAGCTAGGTTGGTGTCAACAACTCAAGCCACCCCCTGGAGGGCCACCCTCATCTCTCCTCTTTGTGTCGCCCCCTCTCCCATGGGGCCCCAGGTGTTTCCATGGTCCCTACACCCGTGCTGTTCTCTCCCCAGTGCTTGGCTCAGGAGTACTGAACTCATCAGACCCAACAAGGATGCTGCAACATGGAGCATCTCTGAGGAAGCTGATTTTAGGGGAGGGTGTGTAACACAAGACACTGTAGCAGCGGGCTTCTCTGACTCATCCTGGGATTATAATGAAAGGCCTGGGTCTGGACATTGGAGTGTGTGTGTGTGTGTGTGTGTGTGTGTGTGTGTGTGTGTGTTTTAAAGCCAGAGGACAATGTCAAGCTGTCCTCTTTTTTATTTTAGACAGAATCTCTCACTGGAGAGATTCTCCACAGTCTGGAGCTTGCTAGTACACTAGGCTGGGTTGCCAGTGAGCTCCAGAAATCTACTTGTCTCTACCACACCCTAGTACTGGGATTACAAGCTCATGCCACCAAACCTGCCCTTTTCTGTGGGTGCTGGGGATCGAATTCTGGTCCTCCTTATCCTTACAAGGAAACAACTACTTTACTGACTGCACTGTCTTTCCTATTCCCTATCTGTCTGTCTGTCTATATATAATCTGTCTGTCTACTATCTTTGTCTGTCCATCTATCATCTGTCTGTCTACTATCTTTGTCTGTCCATCTATCATCTGCCTATCTACTTATTTGTCTGTCTATCTACTTATTTGTCTGTCTGTCTATCATTTGCCTGTCCACCCATTTGTCTATCTGCCTGTTTGTCTATCATCTGTCTATCTGTCTATCATCTATCTGTCTGTCTATGTATGTATGTATGTATGTATGTATGTATGTATGTATGTATCTATCTATCTATCTATCTATCTATCTATCTATCTATCTATCTATCTA